AAAATTTGGCTCTCAAAAGAAATTTCAATCGTTGTCCTGTTGATATTTGGCTCTGTTGACTAATGAGTTTGCCGACCACTGTCCTAAAGCAAAACACCTTTATGACTTAAAACTCCACATATATAAGCCCACTATCTGGTAACCAAGAGCTAACCATTAACAATGATTGACATGGAACCTAGTCTCACTTTTCATTACTTCAATGACATGGAACCTAGTCTCACTTTTCATTACTTCAATGACCATTGAAGTAATCATTCTTCATTCTTTTAACAACAGCTTATCATTCTTTTAACAACAGCGGATAAAATCTTTTGAGTTTTACTATTTATGTGTCTTGTACTATATTGTTTTTACGTATGTTCAATTATACAACATCCTGATGAAAAATACTATGATTAATCCCATTTGACAGGTGGGAAAACTAAAGCAGAAATGTTCTAGTCAGATGGTGAGTGAGACAGGATTCAAATCTGGGCTGCCTGACTCCGAAGCCCTAAAAAAGTAAACCAGTCTCCTGGCTGCTCAGTTCATTTACATCGCGTAAAACAACAAAGATATGCATGTGGTTATTGTAACTTAAAGTATCATGCGAGGTCAGTGATTCCTAATTTTTACTGAACAGAAGAATCACAATTCACATAACCTAGAATTTGATTCAGTAAGTCTAGGGTACAATTTTCAGAGAGCTGCAATTTTAACCATAAGTCCAGTTAATTCTGAGTCACATGATCCAGGAACCAAGCTCTCATAAACCCTGGGCTAGATGTCCTAGAAAATGAAGGATATTTGAACTTCCTGTCTTCCATGAGTTTACAATCTAAAAGGGTAAAAAAAAAACAAGGCACACAAACAATACAAAGCAATTGAAGAAAAGCAATACAGGCAGAACAGAAAAGAGATGTCAAGGAAGAAGAGTCATCAGTAATGAAATGAAGTAGGTTTTCATGAGAAAAGGAAAGACACTTCCTGCAGACTTTCAGGAATAATGTTATATAGAAAGGAAGGTATGATGAGCAAACCACTTAGTAAAAATAGAGGATTTGCATTTCAGAATGGAAAAAATGTCAGAAGAGTAGAGGCTGTGGAATGACCTCAATGTCAACCTACACAGTGTCATCACTGGGAAGCTGCTAATGGTTTTGAGGAAGGAAATGATAAAGGACAATAATATTCTTTGAAGATCTGCATGATCTTGCATAGAATAAGACAATAAAATGGTTAGGCTGTTAACATTCTAATCTCAAAGAAATGAGTCAAAATAGAGTGGTGAAAAAGATGAAAACAGGAGAAATGGTAACTCTTAATGACTCTGCACATGTAGGGCGAAGGCAACTATCACAGCTAAATGATTTCTTCACCCCTAAGTCCAACTTGTATCACCATCAGATTCATATTAGTTTTTAAGAACTTTTTCTTATTACAGAGGTTCAAAATATATAAAGTTCATTTATTCAAAAGCAGCCCATGATTAAGAGGTCAATAAACAGGCCTGGGTATTGCCAAAATACATATCACATAGTTCAGATACTAAAAAAATATTAGTAATTTATATATCATACACATATATATATTATATATAAAGAACAGTACTCAGAGCTATACAATCTTATTTTACATAAAGTTCTATAATAACAATTTGATTCAATTCTAAGATCTGAATTTCCAAACTCACCAGTTTAGAAGCAAAAATTAGAAGGGGAAAAGATCATTTAAAAATCTGAGATTCAAAAGAAATGAAAACTATAAAAAAGTACACACATTTGCCGAAGCCGGTTTGGCTCAGTGGTAGAGCATCGGTCTGCGGACTGAAGGGTCCCAGGTTCGATTCCGGTCAAGGGCATGTACATTGATTGCGGGCACATCCCCAGTAGGGGGTGTGCAAGAGAGGCAGCTGGTTGATGTTTCTCTCTCATCGACGTTTCTAGCTCTTCATCTCTCTCCCTTCCTCCTCTCTGTAAAATATCAATAAAATATATTAAAAAAAAAAAAAAGTACACACATTCACTCAGGGTAAATTCTCCACAACTGTATTGAAATTCCCAGGGGAAAAAAAAATTTAATGTGAATTTTCCTTCATGTTTCAAATACTTACCATAAAAACAAAGTTTTAAACATGTTTTAAAGCTATATATTTTAAAACAACTATTTACCTGATTAAAAGATAATTTAAAGGATGACTGGTACATGACAAAACAGTTCGCTCATCAATAACCAAGGTTTAGTCAATAAGTAGTTAAGAAAGACAGATTTTACAACGAAGTTTGAAGATAAGAATCTTTCTTAAGACATCTAATTTGGCCCCACTGAAGTTTAGTTTGAGTAATTCTTCCCTGATGGCTGTGCTTTGATCTCCATGTTCCAAATAATATGGAAGCATCCTCAACAAAAATTAACACCAGCAAACTGGTCTTAAATACATGCCCTATAAATTGACCTACTGAAATCAGGTAACATCATTTGGCACTAACATCCTATAGCAACAGGCTGTGTCACAACTTTTAAAAGGACTTTAAACAGAGCAACACACACAGGCTTCTCACTTGGTCATCAACACTCTTTAATGTTTATTACAATAATATCATATAAGGACTTCACTGATTTATAAATAGATGAAAACAACATTTGGGGGGGGGGCGTGGAGGGGGAAGATGAATGATGTTAACTGACTCAAAGTTATACCTAAGTTTAAAATATATACCAAAACCATATACTTCTTTAATTATGTAGAAGTAGCCTATATAATAAAAGGCTAATATGCAAAGCAACCAAACAGGGAACAACTAGTTGCTATGATGCACACTGACCACAAGGGGACAGATGCTCAACACAGGAGCTGCCCCTGGTGATCAGTGCACTCCCACAGGGGGCGCACTACTCAGCCAGAAGCCTCTCCTGCCTCCACAGCAGCCTAAGGAGCAGCTGAGTGCTAAGGAGCTTGCCTCTAAGGAGCAGCTGAGCAGTAAGCCTACTGCTTACTGCTAAGGAGTAGCAAACAAGTGGTAAGGGGCGAGCAGGTCCAGGGATCCGGCCTAAGCTGGCAGGCGGACTGAGGGGTCCCGGACTGGAAGAGGGTGCAGGCCGGGCTGAAGGATGCTCCCCCATCCGCGGTGAATGAATTTCATGCACCGGGCCTCTAGCACCATATATTAATTAACAGAGAATAGTTTAGGTTTCAGCTAGATATTTTTAAAAAAGAGCCGAAGCCGGTTTGGCTCAGTGATAGAGCATCGGTCTGCAGACTGAAAGGTCCCAGGTTCGATTCCGGTCAAGGGCATGTACGTTGGTTGTGGGACATCCCCGGTAGGGGGTGTGCAAGAGGCAGCTGGTCGATGTTTCTCTCTCATCGACGTTTCTAGCTCTCTATCTCTCTCCCTTCCTCTCTGTAAAAGATCAATAAAATATATTTAAAAAAAAAAAAAAGAAATCAGTGTATGCTTACAGCACTGTAACATTAAAATAAAACTACCTTACTATGTTGTAGGGATAAGTCAACAAAATGAAACAAGGCCTCTCCTATTTCTCAGACACAGCAAAGGATAGAGAAAATTAAAGAGCATGCTTATTTCAAACCTCTCATCAAATTATCAGAAAATTAAGACATCAAAGATTAAGATTGTGGTACAAACAGCAGTCAAATATGCTATATGATAAATATTTAAACAAATGAATCCTACCCTAACATCCTCAAGATCTATGTGGGGTAACCATCCTTGCTGGCTAGCAGCAGGCAATAGGATAGTAATTGATGCCAAAGAAATGTGCCTTGGAGACAGGATTTTTCAAATTGCAATTTGAGACCCATAAATCGATTTAGTGGATTTAGCATTTTTAATGAAAGAAAATGAAATGTGATAGAAATCACTGGACGGCACCACATGTCATAAGGATAAACACTGCTTTGTGAAAATTTTCATCCATAAGTAGGTATGTTCTGGGTCCTGATGCTAACAGTACTTCTCTTTACGGAGCATGGTTTTTAAAAAAGGAGTCTGGAAGCTCCTAATCCAGAGATCTAGGTCCGGTGGATGGCTCTGGACCCAGGGCTGGGTATTTTCCATCGTCCTCAGCTCCCACACAAAAGCTCTGCTCAAGATGACTCCTGGGAGTCAAAATGAGCTCCAGGGCAGCACGAGGAAGAGCTAAACTTACAAGAGCACTCAGGCCCCCAGCAGCCTTAGGCGGGGCCTACAGCTCCTGAGAGGTTAGTGACAAGGAGCAGAGCTCCTCCTTCCTCCGCTGAAGTAAACAGTCCGGCTCCTGCAATCAACTTTCTTATCTGCAGCTCCCAGCCTCCCTGTCCCAAGAGAAGCAGCACACACTCTCCAGCCTCACCGGGGCCCAATGGGCTTCCAGTTACCAGTGCTGGGGCTCCGCCGCCCCGGCCCCCGGAGAGGCCCGTACTGCCCTCCCAGGCCCGGCCCCTCCAGCCCAGTCTCCAGCCCCGAGCCCCAGCACCTCCCCGCAGAGGGCGAGGCGATTCCCCCAGAGCTTTTCACACCCCACCGCTTCCTCCGCCCCGGGACTTCCGGTTTGGTTCTGGCTCCAGAGGTTCGGGGACAAGTTTCCCTGCTGTGGAGGCAGCCGGCCCGAGTCCTCGCCCCCCCCGGCCGGCCATGGCCGCTCCCAGCCAAACGCCCCGGCCACGGAGGCGCCCTGACTCTCAGAAACTGGCACTGGCCGCCTCTTTACCCCCCCCCCCAGCCTGGGCCCCCGCGGCGCCCACCGCCAGGCCGCCGGCCCTCCTCCCGGCAGGCCTGTCCCCCGCCGCTCCCGCTCCCGAGGGGCGCCTGGGCCGCGGGTCCCCAGGAGGCGGCGCCGACTCCACTCACCCCTCAGCCCGGGAGGCGGGAGCTCTGCGCCGTCCTCCCCCCTCCCGGCCGCCACCGCGGAGCCGCTCGGCTGGGCCTCGGCCCGGTCCCCGCGCCCCGACCCGCTCGGCCTCGTCCCCAGCGCGGGCCCAGGAGCCCGGCGTCCCAACCTGACCCGGAAGCAGCAGTCAGGCCCACACCGCCACGTGACCCAGGCGCAGCCTGCGTCCCTGCGTGAGTGGGCGGGGCCGGAGGAGCTAGGCCTCGGCCGGTCTCGCGGTGCCGGGGCGGCGGGGTCCGCGCTGGCGCGTTGTCCCAGGAGCTGCCTTGCCGCCATGCTGTCTCCTGTGCGTCCAGAGGGGCAGCCGGCGGAGGAGCGCGGGTGGTCGGCAGCCTGGGAGCCCTGGGCTGAGCCTCCCAGACTCACTTGGAATGGTGCCCTGGGGACACTGAGTTGTGGTGGGACCCGACCAGCTCACTTCCAGTCTCGTCCGCGCCCTCACCAGGTGTCCTCCAGGCTGGGATCCAGCCCCATCCCAAGATGCGGGTGCGGGTGCGTGAGGATGGGGAGCGCCGTGCCGCCACGCCGCGTCCTCCCTGAGGCCGGAGAGTTCGGGGCGCCGTTGCCAATGGGGCAGAAGGAGCTTAGGCCCAAGCACCGTGCTTAGGCTTCTTCAACTTTACCGCCTCCATCAAGGGGGTGTTTTATAGATTTGAAAACTGAAGTTCACAGACGCTCGGTACCTGTCCCTGACAGGCAGTTCGAAGTGAGCAGGCTGAGATTGGAACCCAGGTCCCTCCGGCACCACAAGGGCCACACACTTTCCTAGGCTGTTGCTGCAGCCCCGCGCACACTGTGTCTGACCCGAGGGGCAGTGATTGCTACATGGAGTAGGATGGTGCTGGCTGACCCGAGGAGAAATCAGCCTTGGTGGGTGTTAGCTGAAGTGTTAGAAGTTGAGGTCTGTTGCCTGGGCTGTGTGTGCTTTCGTGTGGTGTGTGTCAGGAAGCAGGTGAGGGGTTGTGGTGTGCCTGTCTGGGATATATTATTGGTTCCTAGAGTCAGGGAGACAAAATTCTTTCAGAGGGACCCAATGGCCGTTCCTGGGGACTTTTCTCGTTTTTTGTTTTCTCTTGACCATAGGTAGTAGCACTTAATGGAGTTGAAGGGGGTGGAGAAAGCTGGTTAAAGAAAGTGCTTGAGGCCAACAACGGTTTGGCTCCGTGGACAGAGCATCAGCCTGTGGACTGAAGGGTCCCGGGTTCAATTCCGGTCAAGGGCATGTACCTTGGTTGCGGGCACATCCCCGGTGGGGTGTGTGCAAGAGGCAGCTGGTCCATGTATCTCTCTCATTGATGTTTCTAACTCTCTCTTCCTCTCCCTTCCTCTCTGTAAAAAATCAATTATATATATATATATATATATATATATATATATATATATAATTATATATATAATTATATATATATATATAATTTATATATATATCAATTATATATATATATATAACAAAAACATATATATATATATATATATATATATATATATATATATATATATATATGTTTTTGTTTTGTTGTTTTTTTAAGTGCTTGAGGATCAAGGGCGGGGTGAGTCAAATCAACCTGGCTTAGTTTGTTGAGAACAGGGAGCCTTCTGGCATCTTAGAATGAATTGCTTTGGGAGTATCAGGGTCATTGCCATGTTCACATTCACATTCAAAAAATAGAGGGCAGAATGAAATATGCAGAGAGGAGGAAAAATTGGGTGGTTGCTCCATGGATACTCAATGATAGACTTGTGAGTTCAGGTACCCCTGGGGATACCCAGAAATACGTAGCAAGTTAAATGTATTCTGAGCAATTAGGGAAAAGGCAAGAAATGTGGGTCATTACTATTGACAAATACCATGTACAAGGTCTATAAATGTATTTGTGAGTGTTGTATATGGCCAGGTATGATTAGTTATATGCCTTTCTATTTATTTGAGATATTATTGAGTCACTTTCTTTTGTTCCCTCCTCTCCCCTTATAGAGCAATTCCTAAAGACAAGACCACTGTCTTCACCCATCTCCAATCTCTGCCCACAAGGCAGCCAGAATTTTCTTTCCAGAATTCACATCTGATCATGTGGTTTCCTGTTTTCTCTTACTCCTTACCTGTCCTGTCCCGTCTGGTAGCCACTATCTCCATGTGGTCATTTAAATTTAAATTAACTAAAATTAAGCTAAATTAAAACTATATTTCCTGAGACATATGACACTAGCCCTATTTCAAATGCTCAATAAATATATGTGGCTAATTTTATCCTGTTTGACAGTGTCTAAATAGAATATTTATATCATCACAAAGTTATTGGGCAATGCTGCTCTCTATTCTCAATTCCTCATGTTTCTGTTCTTTGGAAATTTGTTTTGCTAAGCTCTTTGCTTGAAAGATTTTTCTTCTACTTCCTTGAGACTGAAAATTATACATGATTGCTTGTTTTCTTATTGGCTCCTTGACAAGCACTCAATCTCTGTGAAGAAGGAACTAAGCCTGTTTATACACCACTGATACTTCATTATGTCTAAATGACTGTCATAGCGCAATAGAGCAGACAGTGAACTAAAGTAACAGAAAATAGTATAAGAAAGGAACATTTTATTAGAACTTGTGGATAGATTTGATTTTTTTAACCTACAAACAAATTTCATATGGTCCAACCTAATAATAAGGAAAAATTTTCAAAGAATTGGAGGTGTTTCAGTTGGTTCTAATGAGTTCCCTGTCACCTGGATAGTTTAAACAAAGGCTGAATCTGTTGGAATAATATATAAAAAATTATTGGATAGGTTGGACTGGTTGACCAGTCTGATTCTAAGTCTGTGTTCTGAGTCATTAGTTCAACGTTGATTACACTCTAACAACAACCACAGCTGCTTTCATTGCCTCTGTGCCAGGCGATGCTCACTATAGTTCACTTAACTTATAGCCTTCAGTCCTCACAATAAGCTTGTGAAGTGTCTTTGGCACCATCCAAGTTACTGAGTGAGATGCAGGTTAAGTAATACACGCCTTGCAAAATACAGGTAGTAAATGGCAGAGATTGAATTCATAGTCTTGTAATTTCTTGTTTCCTATCATTGTGGCCAGAGAAGATATTTGACATGATTTGAAAATTTATGGAGACTTGTGTTTTTCCTAAGACATGGTCTACCATGGAAAATGTTCCACGTGCACATGGAAAGACATCAATTAAATCCATCTAGTCTAGTTCGTCATTTAAGGCTGCTACCTGAGGTAGGTTCTCATTCCTTTGCTATCTATCTCTCTTCTCTCTCTGACATCCTTATGATCTGATGTTGTTTAGCCTGATGATGTCACAGACGTTTCTTAAATTCTCTTCTATTTTAAATTCTTACTGTTCTTAGGGCCGGCAGGGTTCCTACAGACAGCAGCTAAAGTTCCAGAGGGCACGTGTGGGAGGCAACCAATTGATGTTTCTCTCACATCAACATCTCTCTCTCTCTCTCTCTCTCTCTCTCTCTCTCTCTCTCTCTCTCTCTCTCAAAAGTAAAAATTATGTGATTGCTATTTTTAAAGAGCGTATAACCCACTTCAGACCACTTAGTCTTTTTGTCTTCTGCCAGGCTAAGTCTGTCTGTCCCTGCAGCTAATCCCACAAATGCAATTTAAGGAAGCCTGGAAATGAAATAGTGGTGCCAATCTCTAATTGCTGTTGACAGCAAAGAGGAGGAAGCAATAGGAGCGCCAGAATCCTGCCCTGCCCCCACCCTGCTGTTGATGAAAACAGAACAGCAACAAGCTGCCTCTTACAGCAGAGTCTTGTCTCCATCCTCAGGGTACCAAACTCCACTCCAAGGAGATGAAACAAAATCTGTTTTTCTAAACATAAAAAAAAAAAAAAAATTGTGTGTGTCCAATTATATACATCATCTGAATATTGCATTGTATTCATCACCACCCCACATTTTTTCAACAACCCTAAGACTCGGTGTTGCTTGCTCCACTAAAGGCTATCTCAGCCCCCTGGACACGGCCTTGCATTCCTACCTCGTTATGTCCTAGACCCAACACTCCAGGACCTGGCTTGTGTATGTTCCACTTTTGCTGCCTCTTTGAGGGGAGTCTATCCTCCCAGACAGAGCACAATGTATCTACGGCATCATTTCCTACAGTCTAATGTGTCCCGGATTTCCTGGATTGGTGCGTGGCCTCGGTGGACGTGCTACAGAAACGTCCACCGAGGCCACGCAACAATCCAGGAAATGGTGCCAACAGGTGAGAAGCCTCTGGTCCCTGCTTCCTCTGAGTGTTTGAGAGTCTGAGAGCACATGGACGGGGCAGAGAAAACTAAAGTACTCAGCGTTCCGCCACTGCTTTGCAAGTGGGAGGGTCACTGCACTTGCCTGTTTGATCTCCGTCCTCTACAGTACAGACTCTAGGGGTCTAGCCTGTTGATAGGAGTGAGTCCCCAACACAGCACCTGCCACATGCACCGACTCCCTGAGGTGTGAACCTCAGCCACGGGAATGTCACACAGGCTCTCAGCTCTTAGGCAGATCAAACCCCAGTTTCTCTATGCTTGTTCTTAGGCCTCTGCTCTGCGGCCATTTGTGATAGAGAAGCTGTTGCTTTATTACTTCATAAACATCTTTCTTGGCCTCAGCATTGTATCTGCTTTGTGTATGGTAATAGTATTTTTTCATTTTTCACATTTTGAAATTAATAAAATTGAACAAAAATGTTCTATCAATAGTGACAGAATTTCTCTTGCCTTGGTTGCTTTTAAATTGCAATGCGGTTGTTGACCCCTTCAGTTCTAAAACGAGGTTTTTCCCCTCTGGAAGCCACACCCAGGTTGTGTGTGTGTGTGTGTGTGTGTTTGTGTGTGTGTGTGTGTGTGTGTTGGGGGGTGTCCCAATGAGAAGGGCACATGGCATCACGTCTTTGAGGGGCACACTGCAGGATGGCCAGTGTCAGCCTGGAGCACCCTGTCCGTCAGCGGCCTCTCCCGTGGGGAGAAAGCCCCTTTCAGCAGAGGCCTGGGAATAGCCAGCTCAGGCCACCGAAGGTGTCGTTTCTCCCTGTGAGAAGGTCCCATAGGAAGCTCTAGCTTTAGGCGAAATCTTTATGAAAGGATTCCTTCTCTGAACTTTCCAAACAGGCCTCTTTGTTATTACCCCAGGGGAGCTGACAGCCAGTGGGAATCGAATCTCCCTTATCGTTTCCAGACTATTTTACCTGCTGCGCACCCCCATTGGCAGGAGGGCCACAAGGGGTTCTCTCAAGCTGCGCTCCCCCAGCCTGCTGCTCTGAGATGCCCCCGCCCCCTGCGCATTTAATTCCTGCACCACAGGGAGTCCCCTGGATTCCAAAGGAAAGGTAAACTCCTTGGAATCCAAAACTAGCAGCAGTTCACAGGGCGGCGGGAGGATTGGTTATCGTGATATTTCAGTCTCACCTAACCAATAAGAGGGCTGGTTGGCAAGTTCCCAGGATGAATATTCTCATATGAGCATTGAATTAGAGAAAGCCATCTACACGCTCAACTTACACCCCACTGAGTTCTGAAGTAGAGATCTTGTGACGGTTGGGGCCTTGCAAAGCAATTAAAAGAAATAAAGCAACGTATTATATTTTAATTGATGTAATCTTCAAGCTCCCAGTGGGATCTGGGTGATATCTGACTAGAGTTACCCTCGGTATCAATAGATGACTATTCTGTGAAAGTGCATTGAGGAAGACAAAACGCTACAAATCCTGAACTTCATTAACATGCGGGTCTGTTTGGGGGGATTGGCTCCGACTCCCAGGACTACAAATTGAAAGAATCCACCCAGACTTTTCAGAGATTTGAACAAAGAGCTGCAGCGGGGTGGGGGTGGGGCTAGGGGTGGGCTGGGGGTGGAGAGGGACAGAGAGAGGGGCAGGTGGAGGGGAAGACACAAAGTAGGTTGATGCTGCATTTGCTGTTAGCCTGGATACAGGACAGGCCAGATCGTTCTTCCCAAACCCAAGCAGCTCTCATCCGTCACCAACATTTCTGGGTTTGTTTGTTTTATTATAAATATTCGAAGAAAGATAAACAGACAAGAAAACCTGTTTATACAGTACACAGACTCCGATGGAAAACACAGATGGGAAAGAGAGCCAACAACCAACAAGATAACAGTAGAGCCCAGCCAGGGAGAGCCGGCTGGCTGCAGATGGCCTCCCGGTCGGCTGAGCACAGCGCGGGGCAGCCCCCGCTGACAGCCGTGTCCGCGCAGGCTGACCTTCATTCCACGCGGTGAAAGGAGCAGACGTGATAAATAATTCATGGGGACATTTACCTCGGTAACCCAATACAGAAAGCTGCTATTGATCAAGATAACCTGCTTATAAAAATGAGTTGTAAAAAACACCTTCCCACCCCAATGTGAGCTCACAATAGGGACCCCTCTGTCAGAGCACAGGCTGGAGCTGGGGTTGGGGTGTGCACCGCTAGGGCTGGGGCTGGGGCCGGGTCAGTTTCCCTCTGGGGCCCTTCTCACCAAACCTGTGTTTCTCCTGAGGCTTGCAGCAAGGTTTAAAAATACTCATGTCCTGTACTGCTTGCTGTCATCCAGTCGTGAAAAAGAAAATATTTAAAAAGAATTCAAATTCATGAGCAAGAAGGTCAGCCTAGGATCAAGCCAGCACCCTTCCCAGGAGTGACCGGGACTGCCCGGCCAGCGCCAGCCGGCAGCTCCAACCCCTGTCCTGGCACAAAGAGGAGGTCGGCCAACCCAGAGGGCAGAGTCGGGAATGAAGCACATCACTTCCCTTAGCGCGTCCAGCACAGCGACGTTGGGAGGCCATTTGGTTCAAGTGGTGGTGGCGGGAGTGGTGGCCACGGCTCTGTCTCTCCGCTAGCTCTGACGCTTTTAAATTACGATCAGAAATTGCATAGCATTTACGTTTTCCACCAGAAAATGAGAATTCTCTACGTGAGCGTCCTAATTGGTGAAACCAGCCATGGCCATGTAGCTGCCAAAGCCGCACCCCTTCCGACGGGCGAGGGCTTGGTCCCGCAGGTGGCGGGCACGCTGGATGGCAGCGGGCATGCAGGGCGGTGCCAGCAGCCGTCTGGGTGGCACATGTGGTCTGCAGGCAGGGGGAGCTCAGTGCTTTCCTGAGGCCACGCAGCTGCTGCCCAGGCCCAGGTGAGGCTGAGGGTTCCTGGCTCCAGGCCTGGGAGGTGGCGACAAGAACCCACATCTCCCAGGAACATGCAAACCTTTGATTGCTTGAGGTCATTTCACACACGCGCGCGTGCACACACACGCACACACCCACACCCACATCCACGTATGCACCGTCTCCTGTCCACTAACAAGAACTCCCCAGCCGCAGCAGCAGCTGGGGTTTGGAAAAAGGAGGTGCAGGTGGCAAACAGTGGGTCCCAGGCAGGGTGCCCCCTCCTCCTCTGGCTGCGGGCGGGCACTCCCTCTGCTCAGAGGATGCCACCCAGAGGCTGTGCCCTCAGCTCCTCTCCCTGTCCTCCCTTCGCGGTCACACCCACACAGACCAAACCCACCATCATAATAAAAGCCCGGAGGAGGGAAAGGCCAGGCCCCCGGCACCTGTGCGGTCACTGGCTGGGCACCTGAAACGTGACTTTAGTGAGCTTTTATTTTGAGACGCTCCACCTTGTTCTTCCAGAAGCTTCTGCCTGGGGCCAGCAGCACGCAGAGGCTCAGATGGCCAGGCCTGGCTGCTCTGGCCTAAAGGGGGGAAGGGCCTACAAGCCCTGGCCCAGCCTCGTCCCACAGGCCCACACGGAACAGAGCCCAGTGCAGGGAGCGCAGAGCGCGGAGACAAAAGGGTCGTGAACAAAAGTGTACAAATGCAGAAAGGAAAACTCCCCATGGAGTTTATTTTTCTTTGTGAGGCCAGCCCGAGCGCAGCAGCCCTTCCTCAGGGGGTTCCGCCAAGTCCCCAAGGCCCTGCAGGACCCGCTGTCCTCGAGCGGCCCCAGAGGGCCCTGTGATCCGGGGTGGTGCGCCCCGCTCGCCCATGGCCGCCTTTGCGGGGCGCGGGGCTCTCCAGTCCGCCGTCCCGTCCCCGGTCCGTTCCCGGGGGACAAGGGTGCGGAGCCGCTGCACAGGGGCCTTCTGCTGGCGGCCGCGGTCCAGCTACTCGGGCTCGCCGCCGCCGGGCGCGCGCTCCCAGGCCGGGCCCTCCTCGCCGCGCGCGGCCCGGCGCGGGCCCTGGAAGCGGCGGCACTCGGGGCAGACCCGCACGTGCGCGCAGCCCCGCGCCGCCAGCGCCGCCTCCCGCGCCAGCCGCCGCGCCAGCTGCTCGGGCTCCGCTGCCGCCCCGCACAGCTGCCCGTTGCTGAGCGTGGCGCTGGCGCGGGGCGGGCGCTCCTCGGGGCCTGGGGCCCCGGGCCGCACCCCCGCGCGCCGCCGGCGGGGGCCGGCGCCGTCCTGGCACAGGATGATGCCGCGCAGCTCCGCCACCATCTGCCGGCAGATGGACACCTGGAAGACAGGGCAGGGCTAGGTCAGACCCGCGCACGTGGCCTTGGACCAGAAGGTTCTGAGAGCCTTTCAGCCCATCATCTCCCTCCCATCGCCTCTGCCAGCCCTCTCAGCCCAGCCCTCCAGCCAGTCTTGGTCTGACACCTTCGAAGTCAGTGCCCTTTCAATGGTGCCAAAGCGCCCTGCCTTTGGTCACTTACCTAGTGTTAATTTTTTTTTTTTTTTCTATTAAATGCTGCTAACTTCACAATTCCTCTCCCTGAAAACTTCCAGTGATGCCAGTTGCCTTTGGACCCAGAAGCCCTTAAATAATAACTCTTCTACTCTATGCCAGTCTTTCAAGTATTTGAAAAGCTACCCTGTCTCCACAAACATCCTGTTCTCAGGCTAAAGATTCTCACTTCTTTTGGTCAACTGTTTAGACTGGGGAGCATGCATTCTAATAATTGGAACGACAAAACCACAGCGACACCATTCCTTCGGATCCACAACGTCCTGATATGAAACCCTCAGGTCCAGCTGTGTTTCAGAATGTTTGGGGTTTTAGGAAGATAATACAACACACATATGATTAGCATATATATCGCCCCGTGGGGGTCAGGGGCAGATTCTATACTCAAGCACATTGATATTTCTGTAGCAAACTGTACTTGCCTTCACACTGAATGAGACAAAGAACATACACAAAATTTCATACCAGTTCAAGTTAAGCATTGTCACCAAATGCATTTGTTTAACAAGCTTATAAAAAAAAAAACTTGGAACTTTTGGAGTTTCTTAAATTTCAAAATTGTGGATAAAGAATCATGAACCAAGGGGCACACCTAGAGGGCCCAGCTCAAGTGACTGGGGAGGCTGAGCCACTGGCCCTAAGGACACCTACTACAAAGGCCTCTCTACCAATTCCAGGAGGCATAGCAGCTCTACCCAACACATATAAACAAGCACAGGGAAGCAGTGAAAATGCAGAGACAGAGAAACATGTCACAAGTGAAAGAAATGGAAGAAAGCAAACAACTGGATACAGAGTTCAAAACCAATTATAAGGTTACTCAAGGATCTTCTTGAGGCCTTCAAGGGACTTAGTGAGAATTTGAAGGATCTTAGTGAAAATGCCAAAGACATGGAAAAGGACCAGTCAGAAATTAAGCATACCTACCTAACTGAAATAAAGAATAATTTACAGGCATTCAACAGTAGAGGATTTGAGAATCAAATTAACAATTTGAAATATGAGGAAGCAAAAACCACCCAATCAGAAGAGCAAAATGAAAATATGAAGACAGTGTAAGGAGCTTCTGGGACAACTTCAAGCATACCGACATCACATCATAGGGGTGCCAGAAGAAGAGAGCGAGCAAAATGTTGAAAACCTATTTGAAGAAATAATGACAGAAAACTTCCCCTATCTGGTGAAAGAAATATACTTACAAGTCCTACAAGTGCAAAGAATCCCAAACAAGAAGAATCTAAAGAGGACCACACAAAGACACGTTACAATTAAAATGCCAAGAGCAAAAGACAGATAATATTAAAAGCAGCAAGAGGAAAACAATTAATTACCTACAAGGGAGTGCCCATACGACTGTCAGCTGATTTCTCAACAGAAACTATGTAGTCCAGAAGGGAATGGCAAGAAATATTCAAAGTGATGAATACCAAGAACCTACAACCAAGAATACTCTATCCAGCAAAGCTATCATTCAGAATTGAAGGCCAGATAAAGAGCTTCACAGATAAGAAAAAGCTAAAGGAAGGAGGATCCAAGATGGCTGCACAGGTAAACACCTAACCGCAGCCGCACACAACAATTTCAATAAAATACAACTAAAATACAAAATGGACGTTACCCAGAGCTACAGGAAAGTCGACTGACTAGAAATTCTACAACGAGAAGGAAAGAGGAAAACCAGAGGAGCTGTAAAAGCCTAAGGTATGGAGACATGGTGAGTGCGCCGAGAGGACGGAGCTGGAGAGGAGGGGATGGCTGAGTGCCTGGCTGGCGTACCCTAGCAGGAAGGAGATAAAAGCTCCGGATTGTGCCGAACTCCAGACCTGACAGCGCTGAACCCCAGTTCTAGACCAGACCCTGGAGACCCAGGCTCATACAGAGGGAGCCTGGGCTGTGAGGTGGAATATCAGGGGAGCGGCGAAAGGCAGAGCCCCTGGAGGCGCGCACATTGCGCACAGAGGACAGACTGTTGACTCTGCTGCTAGATTGCCCTAGCGGGAAGGAGACAAAAGCTCCGGACTGTGCTGAGCCTCAGTTCTGACTGCTCTGAACCCCAGTTCTAGGCCAGATCCTGGGGACCCAGGCTCATACAGAGGGAGCCTGGGCTGTAAGGCAGAAACCCAGGGGAGCGCGAAAGGAGGTTCTGGAGGCATGCACAGAAAACAGACAGTTGGCTGTGCCGCAGGATTGCCCTAGCGTAGGGGTGTCAAACTCAATCAGAGAAGGGGCCAAAATCTAAAATCCAGCCTAAATCGCGGGCCAAATGGTTTACTGAACAGTCATAAACTGTCATTGTGATGGAACCGCAGCGGTGTGCAGTGATGACAGCGCGGTGCGGGCCACATTGCAAGGCCTGGCGGGACGGATTTGGCCCTCGGGCCTTGTGTTTGACACATGTGCCCTAGCGGGAAGGAGACAAAAGCTCCAGACTGCTCTGAATCCCACTTCCAACCCCACTTCCAGGCTCATTGGGGGAGAGCCTAGACTGTTTGGTAGCAGGCAAAACTCAAGGGCACCTCACTCTCAGGGGTGCTTACAGCGAGTACCAAAGGACCCTGAGTCCAGTAGACTCAGGAGTCTCATAGGCGTGGCTGACTGAAGCCAAGACTGTAGGCTCCACCCTGAAATTCTGCCCGTCCCAGCTGAACACAGAAACTTTTAAGGCTACCAACTCAGGGAAGCTGCAAAAATGTCGAGACAAGGAAATAGATCACAAACAAAAGAAATGGAGGACAAAAAGTGACTGGATATAGAGTTCAAAACCATGCTTATAAGATTTTTCAAGAATTTCCTAGAAAAGGTAGATAAGACCTATGAGGATATGAAAAGGGATCAACTAGAAATAATAAGGGATCAACAAGAAATAAAGAATACATTGTCTGAAATAAAAAATATTATACAGAGCCCTAAAAACAGAATGGAAGATCGCAAGAATCAAGTCAAAAATTTGGAACATAAAGAACCAGAAGACACTCCTCCTCAGAAGCAAGAAGACAAGAGAATCCAGAAAGTTGAAGATAATGTAAGAAACCTCTGGGACAACTTCATGCGAACCAACATCAGAATTATGGGGGTCCCAGAAGAAGAGAGAGAGCAAGATATCGAAAACATACTGAAAGAAATAGTGACAGAAAACTTTCCCCACCTGGTGAAAGAATTAGACTTACAAGTCCAGGAAGCGCACAGAACTCCAAACAAAAGGAATCCAAAGAGGACCACACCAAGACAAATCATAATTAAAAAAGAAGACCACACCAAGACAAATCATAATTAAAATTCCAAGAGCAAAAGACAAAGAAAGAATATTAAAAGCAGCAAGAGCAAAGCAGGTAGTTACCTATAAAGGAGCACCTATACGATTGTCAGCTGATTTCTCAACAGAAACCATGCAGGCCAGACGGGAATGGCAAGAAATATTCAAGTTGATGAATAGCAAAAACCTACAGCCAAAAATAATCTACCCAGCAAAGCTATCACTCAGAATCGAAGGCCAGATCAAGAGTTTCACTAATAAAAAAGCTAAAGGAGTTCATCACCGCCAAACCAGAATTATATGAATTGCTGAAGGGGGTTCTTTCGGAAGAGAAAGTAAATAAAGATAAAAACTATGAACAACAAATACGTAACTATTAACAAGTGAATCTAAAAACCAAGGAAATTAAAAAAAACCTGATGAACAATATTAACTGTTGAATATAATAGAATCAGAGGTATGGAAGGGGAATGAACTGACGATTCTCAGGGAAAAGGGGAGAGGGGGGTGTGGGAAGAGACTGAACATAAACTGTGCACCTATGGGGAGTGGGGAAAGGGCAGAGGGTGGGATGGGAACCTGGTGGATGGGAGCAATGGAGGGAGGGGGGGAGAGGAACATTTGTAATAATATGAACAATAAAGATTTATTTAAAAAAATAAGTAAAAATAAATAAAATAAAATAAAATAAAAAGAAAGAAAGAAAGAAAAAGCTAAAGGAGTTTATCACCACCAAACCAGGATTACATGAAATGTTGAAGGGTATTCTTTAAGAAGAGGAAGAATAAGAAAGAAAAAAAGATAAAATATATGAAGAGTAAAATGGCAATAAATACATATATATCAACAACTGAATCTAAAAATAAAAATAAATGAATAAGAAATCTAATGAACAGAATAAACTGGTGAATAAAGTAGAATCAGAGGCATGGAAATGGAACAGACTGATGATTTTCAGAGGGAAAGGGTATTGGAGGGCAGTGGGAAGAGATTAAACAAGGATTTTATATGCATGTATATATTACCTATGGACATAGACAACAGGGTGGCAAAGGCCTGGAGTGGAGCGGGAACCAGGTGGAGAGGGTCATGGGGGACAAAGAGGGGCATCTGTAATACTCTCAACAATTAAGATTAAAAAAACAAACAAACCCTTTAAAGCAAAACCAATTTAAAGCAAAAAAAAAAAAAGAATCATGAACTTGAACCGCTACCACTATTATACCCATTTCATAGTTGTAGAAATGGAAGCTCAGATATTATAAATCTTGCTGAAAGTTATTTGACTAATAAATAGCTGATCTAGTGTAAGGAGTCTCTGGGACAACTTATCTACTATTAGAACCTAAACTTGTCTACTGCAAAGGGCAGGCACACTGTCTGTCCTCTGCCCGTGCTGCAGGACACATGCCCAGTCTGTGTCAGGAAGAGCCACCTTCCTGGTTCCTGCTCTTCTCTCCTGGCTTCCAGCTCTGCCCACAGGCTGTTCTTCCGCCATAGCCGATCGCTCAGGAGCTCTTCTCCATCGTACCGTTGGGAGTCCCCACTGGAGTTACCACGGTCCGGCCAAGCCACGGGTGCGTTTTTGGGGAATAACAGAGCGTGCACCGACCCTCCACTTAAAGCAGCTACAGGGAAGCGTGTCCTTTAAAAGAGGACGGCCGAATGAAGAACGGACCTGGATTCTAAGCACGCCGTTGTTACTAAGTAGCTGAGACTCCAGGCAAGGTCCTGGACTTCTCTGTGCTTCTAGAAATAACTGCAGCAGCTGGGACAATACCACCTGCCTGGCCTGCTGCAGGAGACAGGAATGTAACCCTATGCAGGTAGTGGCGGTACCCTGCATACTGCACCACAGCCCTCCCTGCAGCGCAGGGCTGCGTGCTGTGTGCGGGCGGGGCGGGTTGGCAGGGGAAGGAGGACTCTTCCTGTCTGGGGACGAGGCGGGAGGACGGAGAAGGCTTCCCAGGTGGCCTGGTCTGTCTGTCTAAGGCACATGTGTCAAACACAAGGCCCTCGGGCCAAATCCGTCCCGCCAGGCCTTGCAATGTGGCCCGCACTGCACTGTCATCACTGCACTCCGCTGCGTTTCCATCACAATGACAGTTTATGACTGTTCAGTAAACCATTCGGCCCGCGATTTAGGCTGGATTTTAGATTTTGGCCCCTTCTCTGATTGAGTTCGACACCCCTAGTCTAAGGAATAAGTAGAATTCATTTGAAGTGTGGTCAGAGCTGCGGAGAGATGTCTGAGAGAAGCCAAGGCCCAGGAGACCGGTGAGGGAGAGTGTCCCGGATCCGGCTCGTTCTGTCAGGCACATTGAGGCTCGGCGAGGCCCCGCATGTTCTCTCTGCTTCTGTCCGTTGGGAGGGTCAGACCTTCCAGCATGACCTTCCAAAGCCAGACTGCCCGGATGGGTGGAGGGCTGAACGGGAGGTGAGGCAATGGAGCCTGAGGCCGCTGGTTTGGGAGAGGGAGGGAGAGACTGAGAGTACTAGCAGGAATATTGATATTTTGAACATATAGAGTAAATGAGCATGTTTTTAGATTTTGGGGAGAGCAGGGATGAATTGAAAGGGAGAAAAGATAATCCTAGGGTAGCTGAGAAAAGATGGATCAAGACAGAGATAGAGCCCTGGCTGGTGTGGCTAAGTAGATAGAACATTGGCCGAAACATAAAGAACCAGAAGACACTCCTCCGCAGAAGCTCCCTAACTGAGACCCGCACCTGCAGGTGGCACCTTCAGACGGGACAGTAAGGCGCACTTTCCCTGAGCAGCGGGCACTTTTGCCTGTTTCCCTGTACCACGGTGCAGCTAAGGTTAGTCATGTAGGACCTCATTGTTCATACAAACCTTTCCCATATTTACTTCCTGGCTGTTTCCTAGCAGACTCTGAAACCTGGCAGCAGAATGCCTGTCTGGGGCTGCATGGAGGGAGCTCTGAGGCCAGTGCCCCGGGCCTGTCCGGGCTGCTCTGTCCTCAGGCCTGCACGCACCTGCAGACAATCCCTCTGTCCGCGCATGAGCTGTGAACTTCGCCCTTTCTGCCAACACCATAGGCCAGACCCCTCTGGAGGTTTACCTCGGTAGCTTCTGAGTGTCGGAGAGTCCATAAAAACTCCAACATGGCCATAAAAATGGCCACGATTAAGCCACAAATAAGAACCACAAAGATTCCACCAATATTCTCCATTCCCAGTCCTGTAAGAAAGTGATAACAAAAAATAGTGTAAAAGAGCAGGAAGACATAAACACCCACCAAAATGCTGAAGTCACCTCAATGGCAGATGCTTTTCTTACATATTCCTGGAGGAGATATAACTTTGCTTGGAGGAAAAGTGGGGAGGGGGCCTCGTTGCCAATGGGAGAGACGGGAGAAAAGCTCCCGAAAGGGCCCTGGGAGGGGAAGGGGCGTTCTAAGGAAAGAGCTCAGGGGAGTTTGATTTCGCCTGTGACACCAGAATCCCGGTGCATTCCAGTACTTCCATCACAATGTCGCCCATCTTATTTCTCGTGTGTTTGCTTGATATGGAATGATTGTTTTAACCAAACTATGGTTAGAGGAAGATATGTTTACTAAAATGCTAATTGGGAAGTTAAAGCCTTTTGCTTCTCAGACCAGTAGTTCCCAAACCTACCTACCATCAGAATCACCGGGGAAATTTGTTAAAATATCGATTCCTCCTTGTTCCCAAACTATCAAACCCACACCTCTGGAGATGGACCAGGAATCTGATTTTAACACATCTGATAGGTGACTCTGTCCAGCCAGGCCATAATTAGGTTTCAAATAGGCATTTTTGGAAGCTGTAGTTGACTAAGTTCCTTGACATCAGGCATAGTGTCTGGTGGGACCTCCGTGCCTGGCACACCCCGTGTGGCAAACGCTTGGTAAAACACCTGGGGGCTATATGGTTGCTTCCCTTCCACAGCGCCGCCCCCGGAGGGCAGCTCTGTAACTGCACGTGGCATCTGCATTAAAGAGAACCACCCAACAGTACCTCCCACAGGAAGACGCCTGGGGCTGGTCCCTGCCTGCTCCAGGTGCTGCCATGTCTGCATGTCCGGTCCGCAGTGTTGTCATGGGATGTGCAGCTACGGCGGCGCCAGGGGAAGCCAGCTTCACCCAACACCTAGGGTGAGCCTGGGTCCAGCGCAGACCGCCCTTGAGAGCTGGTGAGAGAGCCCTCAGCGGCTGCGTGGATGCCTGAGTTTCCTCTCCCAGAACCTCAGGAGCTGTCTGTTTTCTTGTTTGGTTTTACAATAACCTAGTACAGGCAGCGCCTCCGACACTGGGACACTGCAACACTGCACCACTGTGAGCAAGTGAGGCCTGCCCTGTACAGGGGCCAGGTGGGTGGTGCTCTGTCTGCAGCACATCCCCGGCCTGTGGGTGATGGTCCTGGGCCTGGGGGGAGGAGGCTCTGTGGGTGATCAGCCAGGGCGTTACTTTAGCTCAGTGCTAGGCGAGGCCCACAGGGCAGAGGGCAGACTGCCTTTGAGAGGAGAGGTGCTGGGGGGTTACTGCACACTTGCACCCCTAGCCTGGGAGTATTTGGGCAGAGGCTTTTGTCCACAGAAACATCAGGATCCCTGGGAGGTGGGGCACCCAGGATCCGGCTGGGGCAGGCAGACGCTCCAGCGCCAGGTTTCCGGGGTTAAGGACTAGGTGCGGGATGTGCCCCTGAGCTCCATGGACAAGCTGTGGAGTTCCCTGCTGCCCTGGGGAGAAGGCAGCCGCGTTCCCAGGGAAGAGTTCCCACCAAGGACGCCACCTGGTCTGGCAGCCCCCAAGGGATTGCCAGGTGCTTCCCAGCCTCCTCCCCTGGACGGGCTTCCACCTCCCCTTGTGCTCCTGCAGGGAGAGTCCTGCCACTCCGGGTCCCCCACCCTGTGGGCTCTGGCTCTCCCTGCCTGGGCTGCCCGGCCCCCTCTGCCTGCCCTTTTCCTCTTTCCTCCTCACGGACATGCTCCCACGTTGCTGCTTCTCTTAACATGAAAGGATGAGCAGGAAAAGAGGATGGAGACAATCCAGATGCAAAAATCCTGTGCCCTCCAACTCTGTCTGCTGTACACCCTCCTCCTCCCTCCTTCCTTGGACAAACTATTTGAAGCAGTTGTTTATATCAGAGCTATTTTAAAGACATTGTAAAACCCTAAAATGCTTACATTTGGAGACCACACCTCACACAAAAGCAAGTATTATAGAAGAAAATGCACTTCTTATGTGAAATGCATTTTTAAATTTTTTCTTCTGAAATGACTTAATGGGGAAAAAAGGTTATAATTGGTTGTGATTTCTCAGCATTCATTATACAAAATGAGAAAAATCTCACAAAATTGTTTCTAAATGTAATGAAGTTTTTATGAATACTACATTTAAAAATTAATAAAGTGAAAACTATGTCACATTTTGGAGGTATTTAATTAAATATGACTGTCTTAATTTAAGTTTGCAGTTTTCTATTTGCATAATTTTCTGGGGCCTCACACATAATTTTGGCTGCTGGGGGCTCGTGTCCGTGGCATTGGGAAGTGTCCTGGGGGTCGTGTCCATGGCATTGGGAAGTCGTGGCATTGGGAAGTGTCCTGGGGGTCGTGTCTGAGGCATTGGGAAGTGTCCTGGGGGTCGTGTCCGTGGCATTGGGAAGTGTCCCGGGGGTCGTGTCCATGGCATTGGGAAGTGTCCCGGGGGTCGTGTCCGTGGCATTGGGAAGTGTCCCGGGGGTTGTGTCCATGGCATTGGGAAGTGTCCCGGGGGTCGTGTCCGTGGCATTGGGAAGTCGTGGCATTGGGAAGTGTCCTGGGGGTCGTGTCCGTGGCATTAGGAAGTGTCCTGGGGGTTGTGTCCGTGGCATTGGGAAGTGTCCTGGGGGCCGTGTCCATGGCATTGGGAAGTGTCCCGGGGGTCGTGTCCATGGCATTGGGAAGTGTCCCGGGGGTCGTGTCCGTGGCACTGGGAAGTGTCCTGGGGGCTCGTGTCCTTGGCATTGGGAAGTGTCCGGTGGGGTCGTGTCCGTGGCATTGGGAAGTGTTCTGGGGGTCGTGGCCATGGCATTGGGAAGTGTCCTGGGGTCATGTCTGAGGTATTGGGAAGTGTCCGGTGGGGTCGTGTCCATGGCATTGGGAAGTGTCCCGGGGGTCGTGTCCATGGCATTGGGAAGTGTCCTGGGGGTCGTGTCCATGGCATTGGGAAGTGTCCTGGGGGTCGTGTCCATGGCATTGGGAAGTCGTGGCATTGGGAAGTGTCCTGGGGGTTGTGTCCGTGGCATTAGGAAGTGTTCTGGGGGTCGTGGCCGTGGCATTGGGAAATGTTCTGGACTCACACTTGTTTGTCCTAGTCACTTCTCGTACCATGCCACTTTCACTTGCACCAAATGTTCCAAGGAACATGTCATGCCTGATGGCTTGGGAAAGGCCTAATCCTGGCCTTCCGGCTGCCGGCAGCCTGGGTGTTCATGCTGCCTATCCTGCCACCCTCCCCCTCCGGCCTTTGCTCACTGGGGGCACAGTCTCCTCCTTTTCCTGCGTGTGGCCTCTTGCTGCTCTTCCACACACCAGGCTGAGACCAATCCTGACTTTTCAGCACCTTCTTCTCCCTCTCTCCCACCACTGCCTGGGCCAGGCCCACATCTCTGGGCAGAATGCCTTCCTGCTGGTAGCTGTCACCTTCCAGCCCTACTCCACACGGAGTTGCCTGGGTGTCCTTTCTGAGAAGCACAGTCGAACTATGACACACCTTCTGGTAACAGCTGTTGGGAGCCTCCAAGGCACCCACTGTCACCCCTAGCTGACCTTCACTCCTGTGAGTACCTCTGCCTGGGACCTGTGCCCATCCCATTTACACCCTGGCTACGCGCACCCCCCTCCCCCGCCTTTCAGATGGAGCTCAGGGTCGCCCAGTTTAATTCTGTGTCATCTGGCCTCCTCAGCGTCCGGGAGGGGGCTCAGCCTGCAGCCCTGCAGCCGCGTGGTGGGAGCCCGATGAGAGCCTGAGAAGCGGGTGCTGAAAGAACGAGCAGAAAGAAAGGGGTAATGACGTTCCAGACGCAGAAACCCGAGTTACAAAAGCTTTGGGTCCATCCTGTGATGTGTATTCACCCCCAATTATGTTTTGTTTGAAATAATAGAAAAGTGTGGCAGCCCTTGCCCAGTGCTCCCAGCCTGGTCAGAGGCATCAGCCCAGACTGCACTGAGCGGCTGGTCAGGGGGATGATGCCCACTATGCGGGGCAGCACTGCACGCAGGCGGGGGGCCGTGGGGGGCAGGCAGGTGGTGGGCAGGCAGGCAGCAGGGGCTGGTTCTGTGCTGGGTGATCTTGATTAGACCAGGGAAGTTTTCTGGGGGCCTGAGTGTTTAACAGGATGCTGCTGGGAACCAGAGTCCCTGAGCCAGCACAGGGGCGGGCTCTTTCCCAGCCTCTCCTGTGTCAGGGCCGCATGTCAGTCATGGGCACCGCTCCAGCCAGTGGTTCCTGCTGAGTGGTCCCCCCACCTAGGGGAGCCTTACAGACCACTCGTGCCTGTAGGATGTGTTGGAAAGTGGAAGCGAGCATAGCTGCTGGCAGAGGCAGAGCTGAGAGACAGGGGAGGGAGCGCGAGTGCTGAGAGGGGGAGCACTTTCCTACTGACACTCCGCCTCGGCTCAGCTGTGGCCCAGAGTAAGATCGAACCAAGTGACACAGAATCGAGCTCTCCCCACAAACTCATGGCTGCTAAGTACTGTCGTGGTGCCACACACAAATACAAATGACAGCTGACAAGCACCTTGCTTCTAAAGCTGAGTCCCTGAGGAGCCGGGAGGGCATGCCTCAGGTAGACCTGGCTCTCCAGCCCCACCCACCCGTCCACTCTGCCTTTGGCACGGACTAGGGGATCTGCACGTTGGGATGTGGGTGCGCACATGTCTCCTCCACAAGCCTTGCAGGTCTCAGGTGGCGCTGTAGACATGCGCGAAAGATGCAGGGCCATTACTTATGGACAAGGAAGGGACAGCTGTGGCCTGGGAAGCAGAGACAGAGACCCAGGAGCCACGAGGCAGGTGGGAGGCAGGAGGGCTGTGCAGTCTCTCCAGGGGACAGTGTGGTTCCTTTCTGCCATTGGTCAGTCAGTCTGTCAGCACACATTTCTAAGGAGCTTCCTGAGCCAAGCAGGATCCAGGGGTTCCAGCTCTGTGCAATGCTCCCCACTGAAAACATTTGA